TCACAACCATCTGTAATGAGCGCTGGTGCCCTCTTCTGGCCTGCAAGCATACATGTATGCAGGCAGAGCACTGTATACATAATAAATAAATAAATCTTTTAAAAGTTGATAAGAAAAAAATAGAGCCAACCCTTAAGGGATAAATATATCAGAATTTAAAAAGAAACTTTACACTCCTAACAGAAGTTTAAAGAAACTTCGAACACAAATGATGTCTTCATTAAAGCATTACACAGACCTCAAGGGTCTGGAACGTAGTAGTAGCTCGTCTGACAAGCTGATCATGGGTCTGGGGGAGGTCCAGCTTACGGGCCAGAGCTAGCATTTATTCCCCCTGAAACTGACGCTGGCACCAGGGAACACACGTCACCACAGTTCTTCCAGACTGTGTTCCCCTCTACAGTTTAAGTGGAGTCTTGGAGAGCTGTGCACAAGTACCCACAGATAAACTTTGTGGAGCATCAGAAAAGCTGCCTGTGGGGTAGACAAATCACTTAATCTCTTTAGACCTAGTTAAAAAAAAAGTTTTGATGAGACCAACATCAACAAAATGCTTCGAGGCTAGCATGTAACACTGGCAGGCCCAAAACACTGTAAAACCCAACTGAGGGGAACCCAAGGCCATAAACATTCTCTAGCTCCTCCTCTTCCTCTTCCTCTCCCCCTCCCCCCTTACTCTAATCCACCCCACCCCCAGTCTATCAGTGAGTCTGTTTGTGACCCTCTACCTTCTGAACTAGAATTCCTCTGTAGCCTTCATTTACATTTGTATTTCTGCACAACAGCCACACATTAAATTAGTGAAAAACATTGACAGTTGTATGCACCATCCTTAGTTTTAAAAATGTCGCTCTACATTTCCACAAGGAGAAAAAGGAACATAAATTCCTTTTTCAAATACAACCTAGAGAATTCTTTTTTATATAAAACATTTCCTTAATCCTGCTCCACTGGGTCTCTGTGTGCACAGCTTTAAAATTTAAAGTTACATTTTACAGTTGACATAATTTAATATTAACCATATTAAAATTAATTATGACAAATGGTACCGAATCTGATTAACACCAGTCTCTGTGCTGTCCTGATGTGGATCAAATTACTCTAAAAGACAAAGTAAGATCTTTCTAAGAGACTACCTAAGCCTGGAACACACCACGTCTGCGGCAGCAGGACAGCATCAGCCTTAGCAAGCATGGAGCAGGTACCTTGCTACTTACACTTTAAAACATTCCATGACGGGTCAGACTGCAGACTCAGAGGCAGCTCTGTGGACCTGACTACACACAGTGCAGGTGCGTTAACTGCCACAAGCCCCCATTTCAGGGGAGAATGGGAAGAAACTAATGTGGATCCTAATGTGTCCAATGGTCAGGAAAAATTCTACAGAAAATCTCACTTGCACATTGACTCAGAACAAGTTACAAAGCACTCACTATCATGATAGCAGGCAGCAGGAATAAATCACATGGTTTTCTACAGAACAATGAAACATCTTTATCTCGACATACTATGGCCCATTAAACACCATTTAGTTCTTCCCTTTTGCTGATAAGAGGAAAGAAATTTAGTTTGAATACAGTTTCTCTTACCGTTAAAAAGGAAGGCATGATCAGGGACTCGGGCAGATAAGAGAGCAAGCAAGACGTGAGACCAAACAGAAAACTGGTGCTCCAAATGGCATCATCTTCTAACACAAACGCGGGGTTGTTTCTGGGCAGCCATTTTGCACAAGCTCTGGCCTCCTGCTCAGGGTGACACACTGAGTCAGAGGCAGGCAGCCTTCTGTGGTATTCACTTCCTGCCTGATTAATTTCTCATTTGTTCCTTCCTCCTTTGCTATACAAAAAGAAACTAGATTGGTTTTACTTAAGAAGCAAAGAAAAAAAAAAGCAAATTAAAAAGTTTCTCCTTCCTCCAGGATAGAGTGTAACCACTTGATGCTGTGAAGTGGGCCTCTGCACCTCTCTCCAGTTAACAGCTTTTTTCCCCCTTTTTCCTCGACACCACTACAAAAATAATTACTCCTGGAACTTGAGATTCCTTCAAAAGAATTCGATTTGAAAGCACAACTCTCAATTCTGACTATTTCATTTAGCAATATTGAGAAGAGTCACTCAAGAAATAAAAGCCCTTGACTGCACTGAGAATTAATGTAAGTGAGCCTTCCTCATTTGCGAGTATTCAAGCGTGTGGGGAGAAAGTCAGGACGCAGGTGAGGCGTGCAGGTTGGCGTGCAGCAAGCTTGGAAATGCCACTAGGGCGTAAGTCAGGATAAAAGATACACCCGCAAGCTGCAGACCCACAGCCTTCCAGACCCAAATGCCTTTTCCCCCTCTCCACACTTACAGGGCGACGGTCAGCTCTTTTGGAAAAAGCTGACAAAAGCACACGGAAAGTGAGGGCCGATGAGGGATTTAGATTTCTTACTTCTAAGGTGGATGTAGCTCCCTAACTCACAGCCTTGTGTTGTGTACAGCAGACAGAGTAGCACAAAACATCCACACATTTCTCTTGATGCATCTGAGCAACTCGTATTCATTGTTGCAACACATACCGATAACTGAGAAAATGGCTTCAGTTGAAAGAATGAAAAAAACGGAGGCATATTTCAGAAATTCCATTGTGAACCTTGCATGTGGGATCCTGATTCAGCTGTGCACAAAGATCCAAGTTGCCTGGCCTCCCCTTACCTATGCAGGTGTCCGATAAAAAGGCAAGGGCTGGTTTCAATGGAGACTGGCTGGAGGAGAGGCCTGGAGGACGCAGTGGGACCAGGAATACTAAATTTCCTCTCGTGTTAGGACAGCTCCACCTCAATACCTGAAGTACTGAGAGGGAGGAGAGCTCTAAGTTTGAGAGGAAGTAAATTCACATTCCCTGAGATCTGACTTGAATCAAATAAGCAGCTGGCGATGTTAGGCCAGGGGCATAATTCCTAGAAATGGACATCGAAGGATAAATGGCAGGTCCTTCTCTCCACCTGGAGCTGTCTGAAGGCATGCAGGACTTCTTTCGTGCCTAAAGCAGGACCTCGGGTACAAGTGGTGTTCAAACGGGGACACTAGGCACGAGGCCAGACAGAGGCGGAGGCTTACAGCCTGCGTCCACTTCTGAAAACCCTTGGGGCAACAGAAAATACTGTCAACTCAAAACTTAAATGCTTGAGTGAAATCTTTGAGGAAGTCTAACTATAGCTGGGTCTAAAACAAGAACAGGGGCAATGAGATGATTTGTCTACGTATTTACAGACTTATTTTGAAGTTCACTACGTTAGGTACCCCAAACACACACACACACACACACACACACACACACACACACACACACACACACACACACACACACACGGGGTGGGGGGGCCCCGGGGGAACGGACGGGGACGACAGGACAGAGATGAAGACAGAGAGAGACTACTCAGTATGTATACTTTCCATGCCTATTCTATTCACTTAGAAGGCAGGAACTCCCAATAACTGCAGGGAGTAGGGATATAGAATTGGCATCTATTTCATCTTTAATGAACTCTGTAAACGCAGTCTACACTGACTGTACTTGAGATGTGTGTTATGTAAGACAGGATGGGAGATGGTGTGCCTCTGTTTAAACCCCTCCAACAGCTTCTCGTTCATTTACAAACTCCAAACACCTTGCCTACACTACAAAGGCCCATAAGATCTGTCTTTTCCTAGCCCTTTGTCATCCAGGCTAGCTTTGAATTTGCTGTAATCTTGCCAGTGCTGGGATTTCAGGTGTGCACCACCACAGCCTGGCTCAAACCCTCTTGCTAATTTGCACCCCCTCCCCTAGCCAGCCCTTTCTGTTCCTTAACTGTACCAAGTTCATTTGCATTTTGGGACTTTATACTTACAAGTCTGTAAAAATGCCCAGGTCCTATCTCCTATCTCTGTGCGTGCTCTCTCTCTCTCTCTCTCTCTCTCTCTCTCTCTCTCTCTCTCTCTCTCTCTCTGTCTCTGTCTCTCTCTCCCTCCCTCCCTACCTCCCTCCCCCTCCTCTCTCTTAAAGGGTTTCTCTGTGTAACAGCCCTGGCTGTCCTGCCACTCTAGACCAGGCTGCCTCGAACTCACAGAGATCCACCTGCCTCTGCCTCCCGAGTGCTGGGATTAAAGGCCTGCGTGCGCCACCACCGCTGGGCTTGCTCTTTCTCTTTGCAGAATGCAAGTCATCACTCGATACTGTACTTGTTTGTATGTCTCTCCTCACCACAATTCAAGCTCCATGAGAGCTGGGACCCTGTTTGTCTTGTTTTCTGCTGTCTCCTCAGCGTCTAATACAGTTTCCAGTGCTCAATAAATAGTGGATTTGAATATCTTATAAATTCCACCAAAACACAACAATTCTTTCTTAGCTTGCCATAGCTTCAGTTGTCAGCTTGACGTAAGCCCAGAGTCACCTGGGAAGAGGGAAGGTCAACTGAAGACCCGCCTTGATGAGATTGGCATCTCTTTTGGTATTTTCTTAACCGCCAAGTGATAGGAGAGCTCACTCAACTAGAGGCAGTATCCCTATAGGGGGCCACTTCTGTATAAGAAAGCAGCGCTCCTCGGTGGTCTCTGTCAGTTCTTGCCTCCAGGTTCCCCTTTGAGCTCCAGCCCTGGCTTCCCTTAATGATGATCTCATTATAACTTGTAAGTTGGAATAAGTTATTTTCAGTAAGTGTTTTTGTTGTTGTTGTTGTTGTTGCTGTTTTGTTTTTCTTTTTCTTTCTTTCTTTCTTTCTTTCTTTCTTTCTTTCTTTTTTTTTTTTTTTTTTTTTACGAGACAGGGTTTCTTTGTGTAGCCCTGGCTCTTCTGGAACTCACGCCACAATTAACAGAAAATACTTAGAATGTTGGGGTACCCTGCAGGACAAGGCAGAAGAGAGAAACTCTGTCTGGAAATAGTAGACAAAGGAAACCATAGCTTTGTAAACAAAGCCCCTCCCGCCTTCCCCCTTGTGATCTGCAGCCCAGTGGGTGAGAATTGAATCTGGAGTCCCGCGGGGTAGGAAACCCCAATGCTCCCTACTAGTCTGACTCACATGAAGCAGGGACAGAGGTGAAACTGTATCAGGAGACACGTCTGGAATGTACTAGAAGTGGATTCCTTGCTGTCTCTGCAAAGCCATTCTGTTACTTCTCGAGAAAGGGGACAGCTGTTTTCGTCTCTGTGCTGGGATCTGTCTCACCACCAAGAAGCAGATTGTCCTATGAGGAGTTTGGATTTGGCCGCTTTAGAACCAGGTTAGCTGTCTCTTGGGGGAATCAGTATGACTGGGGTAAACAGTCTATTTGTTACTCTCTCTCTCTCTCTCTCTCTTAAAATGTGCATTAGTGTTTTGCCTGCATGTATATCTGTATGAGGATATCAGATTCCCTGAACTGGAGTTACAGAAATTGTGAGCTGTCATGTGGGTGCTGGGATTGAACCCAGGTTCTCTGGAAGAGCAGCCAGTGCTCTTACCACTGAGCCATCTCTCCAGGCCCTGCCTGTTACTCTCACATCCTCCCTCCCTTTACTATTAGAGTATGGAGTTCAGACTTAGGGGACATCTCTGTTCCTGCAGCAGTTGGGCTAACTCTACCCTGACTCCAGGGTAACAAGTAACCAGCTTGTTTCATTACTGCCTCTGGGTGTCCCTGGTGCAGTGGCAGGTTTGGAGACAAACATGTGACTACTCTTAATCAAGGAGATTCACTGAGAGGTATTCTAAGACCCACAGGGCTGGGACTGGCGGAATCGAAGCACATTTTAAACATGGGCGGGGACAAGGGCTTTAAGAAGGAAGCTAATTCAGAAAGAGCTAGAAGGAAGTCTGAAGCTTAAAGGGCACGTAAATCAAATACAATGTGTGGGCTCCAGATTTAAACAAACAAACAAAACCCTAAAAAATTCAAAGCAGCCAGAATTTGAATACTGATTTGAAGACAGCCCTGATTTTAGATTAGGTGTTATTGCAATTGTTATATTTTACAAAGAACTCTTAATTTTTAGAGATTCACACTAAAATATTGTGAGTGAAATGATTTGTCCGGATCAGTGTCAAAGTAACACTGGAAATGAGGCTAAGTGTGTCCGGGTTCAAACGAGACCAAAGTGGTCCTGAGATTACGGCTCTTAAAACTGAGAGAGCAGCACACTGCAGGTCTTCAGGCAGCGACTGTCTGGCCTACTTTCCAGTATTTGAAATGTTTCCATCAAGTGCAACGACGAAGGAAAAGGAAAAAGGCCCGTGGCTCATTCCCTTCTTCATCCACTAGAGGCTGTGGAGGGACTAGCAACCTGCTCTGATGTGGCGTTAAGGAAAGTTTGTTTGTCTCAAGATGATCTCTTGGCTTTGGGATAAAACAGGATGCCAAGGTTTTCTCCAGAATAGTTGAGGATCTAGGTAGCTCTTCCCAGGAAGGGATTAAAGCCCCCCCTCAATATCTGAGACTTCAGGAACAGTGGCAATTAAAAAAATTAAATAAGAAGCCAGAGAACAAATAAACACCCTAAAAAGCAAGAAGAAACGGGAGAGTGTAATGAGATGTTTACTTAGCACAGAAGGCTCAGGCCTGATGGGTGGGGCCCACCTTCTCAGTGTCTTGTTCTCTGCCAGGATGACCCTCAACACACACCCAATCCATGTTATTCCTGGGACAGTCTTAGTTCACCTAGACCCAACTCTGCGATATTGCTACAGATCCCCAAGAAAACCTTATCATGTTTGGAACCATTGTTTAAATCAGGGCATTGAACTAGGCATTCGTGGGCCTGTGGCCAACAGCATCTTTGTCTTCTCCTTCCTGGAGTCTTGTTAATAATCCCATACTGGAGATGAATCCTCAGGCTCAGAGACATCTTATGGTTTACAGTTTTAGTTTGGAGACTCCAAAGAAATCCATGGGCTCAAAACCCTCAGGGCCCTTTCATTTATAGCAAGTGAAATCTAAAGGCCTACTATGTCGGAGGCTGCAGGGGTCCACCTTTCTATCTCTTGGTCTTCTCCCTCTTCTGAGCCTGCCGAGTTCTCTCCTAAGGACGGACCTCTCCCGGCTGTTCACTACACTCAGGGCAGTCATTATTTGGACATGATCCCCGTTGCCCTCTGCAGGGGCGGCTGTTACTGAGGGCAGAGACTGTCTTGTCTAGTGCCATCTCCCCAGCTGCCTGCAACAGCACCTGACACATGGCAGAACGTGAAAAATACGCAAAAAGGGAACTGGAGAAACTCCCAGCTCCAGGTTAGAATATCACCAAGCTTACCTCCTTGTAGAAAAACACATGCTTTTTGGATATGGGAAGACCATGCATGTGCCCTTTGAGAGCACCGTCTTGCTTTCAGTAATCTCATTTAACTGTGAAAATTTTCCAGTTGGGTCACCAACTTCCAGAACAAATGCCTCCAGGGGAAAACCCATGTAGAGCATAGAGGTGGTTTCTTACAGCCCAAGGGGGAAACTGTTGGAAAGTCCCCTTCTACATCCTGCCATGTATACTTTCTGCACATGGACTGGGCGCTGCTGCTGACATATGGCTAAACACACATTCCTTCTGGTTGCCTGCTAATGGTTTGAAGGCCAAATAAGGTCTGTACAATCATTTCTAGGGTGGGGACAATGACCATCTAGGTTCTTCTCCAGCCTCCTCTGTAGCCCAGGGTTACCTATGCCTTCAATTGGAGGACAGAGCCACAAGGGCACAGAGAACTCCCCTGAAATCCCAGGGAATAAGGGCAGATACAGCTGTGCACTTGGGCCTGACATCACCCCTCTAAACACTGCAGGAGGAGCTCAGTGACCCGAGATGCCCCTTGGAGCCCTCTGACTGCACATGAGCCAGGCCTGGATGGTGACACTGCCTGAAAGAGGCTGACCCAGCTGCTCTGTGAAGACAGGAAACAGGGGGACATCTGTGGGCCCAATAATGAGAGGTTTTTCTCGGAGTCACCATACAAGAGTGTCCCATTCAGCACAGAACTGCCCTCTTCAAAGGCTCTGTTGGATACTAATGTAGGGGAAAAACCACTTATGATGATCTGATCCTGGCCCTTAACTCCAATTTATAGGTAAATACAAAGTAATTACAGATGTTCTTTGACTTACAACGGTGTTACCTCCTTATAAACTCATTGTAAGGTAAAAGCAAGAACTCATGGCTGCAGACAATGGAAACATACTGTCTTAAAAAGTTAGAGGAAGGATTTGGGATTTTTCACATGAACAAATGATAACCTTTGAGGGGAGATATTTTGAGGGGAGGTGTCTTTTTTTTGGTTTTGCTTTGTGTTTTTGAGACAGGATCTCTCTGTGTAGTCTTGGCTGTCCTGGAACTCTGTAGACCGGGTTGGCCTCAAACTCAAAAGATCTGTCTGCTTCTGCTTCCCAAGTGCTGGGATCAAAGGTGTGGGATATCACACCTGGCTAGGAGGAGAGACATGTTTAACATGACAAATATCATCACATGACACATACAAATATCAACACATCATCACTATGTATAAGTCTAATGTTTTTATCTATCAGTTAGAAACTATTCTTAAAGAGAGAGAGAGCTGTAAATGCATTTAATAAATATAGTACACTAAGCATGCTAACGCAACAACTCAACGTACTGTAGCTCATCCTGTTGTGCCATGTTGTGCCCCCCCCCCCGCCCCCATTCAGAGGCTGTAGGAGGCTAACAGGCACTGCAACATCATACCAGGGAGACAGACCAGCAGCTGAGCTGTCATGAGTCTGGAAACATCTACATTAACATGGTTGCACTCATTGTTTCAACTCCCAGAAGTATAACTATTCCACCAGTGAAACACTTTGTTCTGATTGTGAAAGAAATGGAAAAGCTGTCAGAATAAAAAAGGAATCATTGTGTCAACAATGACAAGAAGAAAAAACAAGCTAATAACGTCGGGATATTACTATAAAGGAAGGTCCATAAACACAGTCAGTTGATATGGGCCAGCACACACGTGTTGGCCAGAACCACAGAGTACACAACCTTGTAGAGAAAGTGCCCCTCCCCCACCCCAGGACATTTGCCCGGCAACGTCAGCTTTGGCTGAAGCCACTCTTGTTATCAATCATTGTTGGGGACCAGGCCACTGAATCTACTTACCCCAGGGCATTTCCCAAAACTCAGGCTCTTTCCCACAAATGGCCCTTCCCTGAACAATGCTTCCCTAACACCTACACTCCCTGGTGAGATCTCCTGCTCTAGCATAGCAAACGCTCCCTGCCCCTAACAGCCCCCAGCCTCACTTCCCAGCGTCTCCGGTCTAACAGGTCTAACAACCCAGTCCCAGGGCCAATGCCACATTCCCCTATTTAAGCCTGTACAGAATTCTCATTAAATGGCAGCTTGATCGGAAGGTCTGTCTTGCTGTCCATATCTCTTGTCTCATTCATTCCAGGTTCCCGTGGGTTTGAACCCATTGTGGCCTGTTGGCCAGGGCAAATCATGGTGGCCAGAATGTCTCAAAATACCTGATGTTGATCCGTACTTTTGCCTCTGAAGGCTCCCCTCTACCTCAAGGCCCTTGAGTACACCCATAGTTTACCATCGCATTTGCAACACCCCTGCATTCCCAAATAAATAGCAGATCTTTTTTTTTTGAGAATTTGTCCTTTTCAAAAAGATTGATGAATGCTGGGCGTTGGTGGCTCACGCCTTTAATCTTTAAGTCTCTGGCTAGAGATAATCTACAGTGGTCACGGGAATTCAGCCCGACCGCTGGCTCTGTTGTGTTTCCCCCTTAAGAGGCTGCATTGATCACTTACAAACTGAAGTTAACTGCTACACAGAGAAACCCTATCTCAGAAAACCAAAACTAAGTGGATAAAAACCTGCTTCCCTTTTATTTCCCTTTTAAATTAAGATTATACTGACTTAAAAAAAACCTGGAAATGATGTATGAAGCCAGACAACTCCATTTAAGAGGTTCACTGAAACTGTGCATGGTGGCGCATGCTTAGCACTGGTGGGGGGTGGGGGGGGAAGGCAGGGGCATCTCTGTGAGTTCGAGGCCAGCCTGGTCTACGGAGTGGGTAAGTTCCAAGACAGGCAAGGCTGTTACACAGAGAAACCCTGTCTTGAACCCCACCCCCACAAAAACAGAAGTTCTCTGAAGATGTGAGGCCCGGAGTGAGGCCAGCATGAGAGCTGCTTTCGGTGGAGAGCTCCGTTTGGTGCCTGGACTCATGCCGCATGGAAGTGAAGCAGCTGTCCACTGCCGAGGGGGAGGGTTCACACTCCGCTCCCATGTGTCCCAGGGTCTCTCTCCTCCTGCTTCTGAGCACACTCTGCTTTTCTCCATGGCCTGCCAAACAGAGTTTGCTCTCCCCACATAACCCCAGATTCCCTCCAAGAACCTCCCCTCCCCTCCCCTCTGGTTGCTCTGAATTCTCCAAATGACTGACGGAGAAAACTTGAAAAAGAAAAATCCTCCTAGCTCGTCTGCAATGGGGTCAGCATCCTGACAGGCTACCAAAAAGATCACCAGAAAATGCTTCTTGCTTCCTTCCACAGTGTGTGCAAAGGGCAGAAAAGATGCAACCGAGGTGGCGAATGCCTTTTTTTTTTTTTTTTTTTTGCAGGGTCCTGCCCCACTACTGAGTCTTTCCCCTGCAACACAGAAGCTGGCCAACTCAAGTCTTGGACCATTTAATCTGTTTCAGGTCCATTCCAACAGAATGACCAGTTGTGTACAAAGGAGCTCCATGGCTACATTTAAATATTGACTGCTTTGAGGACAAGAAACTACCAAGTGGCATAAAAGCCACATGGTTAATATTTTGTAGGCTGTCTCCAGGAAGATACACGCACAGCATTCAGAAGGAAAAAGCATCAGTTTAAACACTTTCTCTCTCATCCCCATCTCCATTCAATAAAACAGACAAGCCAAAATAAAATGAAACAACAAATAAAACTCAGCCTGGACCCTACCCTTGGCTTGTGTCACATGTGTGCTGTCTGGGTGCCACAGAATAAACCAGCATCACTTCTGCCTCTGTCCACAACATGACCCAGTCCCTGATGGTGGCTTTCCTCCAGGTTCAATGCTCCCTCCTTCCAGATAAGCCTTTGTAACAGGAGGCTCTGGCCACCCTCACTTTCCCCCTTGTCCTGACCCTGCTTTCTCTTCTAGCTAAACACACGATGCTGCTGGTTTGTAGAAACAGAAGTACTATGTGTCCTGTGACATGATATTTGCTTCTGCCTCTCTGTGAGCCTCTAACTACCCCATAGATTAGTGAGGGGTCTTATGCACCTTCTACATTCAGCAAATACACAGCATCTGCCACACGCCCCTATTGCTTTAGATGCAAGCGTGGCTAACCAAACTGAATCTCCACCTACAAGGAGCCAGCATCCACACCTAAGCCGATGGTAAGATACCGGTGAAATGAATTCAGGGTTCCACCCACCACATTTTGGCTTAGCTCATCTTAGCTTATGCAGATTGCTGCCTGAAGAGTGACTACCTATATAAAAGCACAGTCCTCCAACGCCTGTCAGTCATTTCCATTCGAGTGTAGGCATGGGCTGTCTGAGCTTTGTTATACTAGATACAAGCATACTTGCTGATACACTGCTGGACCAGCCCACAAAAGTCTAGTTCATATAATGTGACTGAACTAAAGCTTCAGTTGCTAGCCCTCAAAGGAAAGGAAATGGAGGAGGAAGAGTTCACATCCCTTCAGAGCTCCTGAGACACAGCCTCTGCCCTTTCCTCCAAGCTAACCCTAAATGTTCCTTTGACCCTTCAGGATCCTAGGACACCCCTGTTCTCCCAACACATCTACTTGTGATTCCCCTTCCTCACGTAAGAGAATCTCACTGAATTGTCAGAAGGAAATCAAATTGCTATTCTTCATTTCATATTAGTATTTTAACATCCTTTTTAAAGATTTATTTTATGAGTCCTTTATGTTAAAGGTGTGTGTGTGTGTGTGTGTGTATGTATGTATGTATGTATGTGTATGTGCATGAGTACAGTGTGAAAACAGAAGGCGGCTTTGGAGGTCCTGGAGCTGGAATTACAGGCAGTTATGAGCCTCACAATATGGGTACTGGGAACCAAACTCAGGTCCTCTGCAAGAGTATGTACTTTTAACCACCAGTTCCATTACTTTTTTATTTAAGTGGGGGTTGACTAGAAAGCACAAATTGCCGTCAAATTGATGATCTGAGTTTGATCCCTGGGACCACATGGAAGAAGGAAAGAACTATTTCTGAAAGTTGTTCTCTGACCTACACACACACACACACACACACACACACACACACACACACACACATACACGATAGATAGATAGACAGACAGACAGATGAATAAAAAGATTTTTAAAGTGAAAGGAGCTTCTAAAGTAGTGGTTCTCAACCTGCGGTTCATGACCCCTTGGGGGGGTCTCCTGACCCTTTCACAAGGATAGCATATCAGATACCCTGCACATCAGAGATTTACTTTATGACTCATAATAGGAGCGAAATCACAGTTATGAAGTAGCAATGTAAAGAATTTTATGGTTGGGGGTCACCACAACATAGGAACTGTATTAAAGGGTCACAGCGTTAGGAAGGTTGAGAACCAGTGATCTAGGGAGATAACTAACCTTGAAAATTATGAGGACCTGAGTTCAATCCCCAGAACCCATATTTTAAAAAAACCTAGCCAGCATGGTCCATAGCTGTCTGACGAGCAACAGCCAAGGTCCTCCAATCTCCACACCAAATGCGTAGGAGTGTACACCACTCTTACATACACGCAACGAGAGGGAAGCTATTAATTAAATGATGACCAATTTTGTTGAGATAAGGATGGAGAGAGAAATCACACTCTCTATGGTAGTGTCTGCTTCTCTCACTTTCATAGTATTTTTTTTTCTTATTAAAAAGCCATATAAAGATACCAGCACACAGGCAGAGGCAGAAGGATCTCTGAGCTGGAGACCAAATTGGTCTACAAAGCAAGTTTCATGACAGCCAGGGCTGCACAGAGAAACCCTGTCTTGAGAAAACAAACAAAACAAAGCCAAATATAGAAAAGCTTAGAAAATGTAAATGATTTTCAAAGCAATTCATTTAAAAATCTGTTAAGAGTTTTAATGACTAAGATCAAAACTATCCATGACAGCTTATGCTGGAGAGGACATGGAGTAAGGGGAACACTGGAGGGAGTGCAAACTTATACAGCCTCTCTGGAAATCAGTATGTCGCTTTCTCAGAAAATTGGAATCAATCTACCTCAAGACCCTGTAATACCACTCATGGGCATATGCCCAAAGGATGCACTCTCATACCACAAGGACATTTGCCCAGCTATGTTCATAGCAACATTATTTGTAATAGTCAGAACCTGGAAACAACCTAGATGCCCCTCAACCAAGAATGGATAAAGAAAATGTGGTACACTTACACAATGGAGTACTACTCAGCGGCAGGCAAATGGATGGAACTGTCATACTGAGTGAGTAACACAGAAAGAAAAACATGGCATGTACTCACGCATAAGTGGATATCAGACATAAAGCAAAGGATAACCAGCCTATAGTCCATGACCCAAGAGAAGCTAGGAACAAAGGAGAACCCTAAGAGAGACATATATGAACCTCCTGGGAAGGGGAAATAGACAAGATCTCCTGAGAAAATTGGGATCATGGTGGGGGGGGAGCAAAAAGGAACGGAGAGGGGAGAACAGGAGGGAACAGGATGGGGGAAGGACAGAGAGGGAGAGCAAGGAAAGAGACATCTTGATTGAGGGAGCCATTATGGAATTAGTGAGAAACCTGGTACTAGGGAAATTTCCAGAAATCCACAAGGATGACCCCAGCTAAGACGTTAAGCATTAGTGGAGAGGATGCCTGAACTGGCCTTTCCCTCTAATCAGATTGATGAATACCTTCATCCAGCAACTGATGGAAGCAGATTCAGAGATCCACAGCTAAGCACTGGGTTGAGCTCCCAGAGTCCAGCTGAAGAGAGAGGAGTGATAACATGAGCAAAGGGGTCAAGACCATGATGGGGAAACCCACAGGAACCTGAGCTAGCGGGAGCTGACTGACTCCAGACTGGCAGTGGGAAAACCTGCACGGGGCTGAACCGGGCCCTCTGAATGTGGGCGACAGTTGTGTGGCTTGGGCAGTTGTCTGTGAGGCCGGTGTATCCCTAGACTTTTTGGAGCCCATTCCCTATGGAGGGATACCTTGCTCAGACTAGATACAGGGAGGAGGGCCTCAGTCCTGCCTCAACTTGATATGCCAGCCTTTATTGACTCCCCATGGGAAGCCTCACCCTCTCTGAGGAGTGGATGGGGGTGGGGTGGGGAGAAAGTGGGGGGAACAGGAGGAGGGAGGGATTGAGAACTGGGACTGGTATGTAAAATGAGAAAAGATTGTTTTAAAAAATAAAAATCTGTTAATATCTTGAAATGTCCTTTCAACCTTTTCCGTGTGTGTGTGTGTGTGTGTGTGTGTGTGTGTGTGTGTGTGTGTATGTTGCAACAATGGGGCAATTGGGACCAAGCTTAGGACTCCCACATGCTGGCCAAGGGCTCTACCATACATAGTGCTCCACTCCTAGCTCTGTGTATCTAAAATGTGGTCAGACTGAAGCGTGTGTGTCTTTCCTTTTCTCATGTCACAATAGGATGTTAAATGTTGAATGTTTCAATTTGTGGTTGTTCTGTTATCTGTATTTTTTGGACATTTAAATTATATCCAAATTCATTATCAAACCTTCTGCAATGGGGCTAAGAGAGATGAGTGAGTGAAGTGCTAGCCATACAAGCCAAAGGCCCTGGGTTCAAGACCCCTGGATCTGTGAGAGCATAAATCCCATGGCTCCTATAGAGAGACGGAAGGTGAACAGAAGATTCCCGGGGGGTTCACAGGCCAGCTAGCCTGGTGTATGCAATGACAAAAGAGACCCTGTCTCAAAGGAGGTAGGACAAGACTGACACTCAAGGTTGTCCTCTGACCTCCACACGTGTGCCCCAGCACACATATGTCCAAGTTCATACATATACACATGAGTCATACATGCACTCAAAACGCTACCATGATTAATATATTTGTATGCACATGTTTCTAGTCTAGCACGAATTTCAGATTACTTCCAGAGGATGCATCTATAGAGTGTAACTATAATAGGAGACACTCGACAGTTTTTGTTTCTTCTAAAGGTTTTGGTACCTACCTCAAACTTTTAGCTAACACACCCCTCCCCAGTGCCCATTATATTTATTCTCAATATGTGCCATTTTTCTAATTATTGCCAATTTATTAGATGAAAAATTATACATATGGGCTACGGAAGTACAGAAGTAATTTTACTTCTGATTATTCTTGAGATTGACAATGTCTCACCATGTATCATCTTCTCTCTCATTATTACGTATTTTTCTATTAAATGTTATCTGAAATTTTTTTAATTACAGTGTGAGCCTTTTTTTTATTTCCTTCTTTTTAACCAAAGTACTGTCCAACTCATCATGTTTTCTTTCTTTCCCCCATCAGTGTACAGGGTCTCACTCATGCTAGACAAGCACTCTCACTCTGAGCTTCATGATTTTTCAAAAAATACAAAATGAAATATTTAGCCCCTGGGCCAAGGGCAGTGGCCATTCCTGGGAGCTTATAAACTGGACCACCTTGACTTTGCAGCTGTGATTAAATTTACTGTGACATTTGTGAGAATGTGCCAGGCTGGGAAGAGGGGGAAAGGATTGCTTGCTAGGCACATAGCCCCAAAGCGCTTCCTGTCTCAGAGACAAAGGCAGGAATGCCTGGGTTTATGCTACACAAGGGCAACCAGGAAACTTGTATTTTGACCCCAAGTCACCTCATTCTGTCTTTCACAAGACCAAAGTTCCCGGAAACTGAGGAGTAAGTAGGCTGACCTGTTCAGTCTGAGCTTCTTTTATCTTCACTGACTTCAGGTGCTG